ACCAGAGGGGTAGGCCCTTACAGCCTTGTAAGGGTTTGTTTTGGTTCTAATGAAACAAAGCATTCTCGCTTCTGGACACATAAGAGTTTGAAAATCACGGCCTCGTTTACTGAAACATTTGCATAGAGCTTCAATAGAGACTTTATGTACATTACCCCTTCCACTCCCAGCTCTTACCTGTCTGTGTCTTTTTTAATCTATCAGTGTCGTGCCTGTGCATTGATCATAGAATCATATAATAGAATCATAGAATAGTTAGGGCTGGAAAGGACCTTAAGATCATCTAGTTCCAACCCCCTGCCATGAGCAGGGACACCACACACTGAACTATGTCACCCAAGGCTCTGTCCAGCCTGGCCTTGAACACCTCCAGGGTTGGAGCATTCACAACTTCCTTGGGCAACCCATTCCAGTGCCTCACCAATGCACAATGCAGTGCTTTAAAATCATTTAGACTGTTGACAGCCCCTTGCGTGGGTATTATTCTTGACATTCAGTTGCTTATGGCAAAAAAGCAGTTGTTTGCTGGGTTGGTGACCCTCGGGCCCTTTGGTTTATTTCTTTTTAGGATGAGTTGGATGTGTTTGTTAATGAGAGGCCTGGGAATCTAAACCAGTTTCTGGTCAGCGTAAGATGGGTACTTTCAATGACACAGGTGTACTTACACCTATAAAATCCCAGTGTTAGTTTACTGGCTTGGTTATTCCTGCCACGGTGCCCAGGCTGGTGAAGCTGTTGAACTCTGGCACTAAGGGGTTTAGTGAGGACAATTCTGACCGCTGTTTATAATCCACCACTTGTTTGGGAAACTTTTCTTCAGGCTGTCCTGCCTCTGCAAGCCCACTGGTGTAAGTTTTGCTCCAGGAAAATGATTCGGGAATGAGTTCTGGATTTGCTTGGTCTGTGGGGAGGATATTCTGGTTTTGGGAATAGTCGTGTATTTCAGGCTTGCAAAGAGGCTATGACAGGTAGCGTGTGACTGCTAAGGCCAAGCAAAGAGGGTAATGCTGCAGCCATGCAGCCGTGCCATTAAAGAACACAGAAACCTGCACCAGGCTTAATTTCTTTTTTTTCCTGGTAATTCTAAAATTGTTATGTCAAACTTGGTGTCATATGGAGGAGGAGCTCTGTGGCTAAGTTATCTCTAAGAGAAGATACCTTCTGTTCACAGAGGACTACATGTGCAGGAGAAGCTCCTCTGGGAGGGCGAGAGGTGATGAAGAGCAGCAGCAAGGCCAGGACCTTGCTGGGACATTGCAGGACTCCATCAGCTGGCTGAGGAGCTTAGTGAAGGGGTGGTCTTGAGTCTGTTATACAGCAAGCACTATTGAAGAGTGGTGTGTACATGTATGTTTATGTTTGTATGCACTTGTTTATGTATGTGTTTATAAACATTTATATATAAACAAACATGTCTTTTTCAGTGTCACTTCTGCTTGCAGAGATGCTGGTTTAAGTGAAATTCCTTTACTATTGTAGCTGTATATTATGGAACTTCCCTAGCAGGTGTGTTAGCAATTTTATTTGATCTGCAGCAGGACCACTTTTAACTCCCACAAATGCAAAACATAACTGTTATGTGTGTCTCCCCTGCACAAGTCAATGCGTTTACCTTGCCCTGTTGGACAGAGCCAGGCTTTCTAAGAACTTCAGGAATAAAACTATTCATACTATAGCATTTTTGAGTTCTTGCTGATCATTCCTTTGAGATCTGTTTCCAGTACTTGGGCTTATTTAATGACCCTGAGACTACTAACTGTCCTATTGCTTGTAATGCATTGATATCTAAGGCAGCTGGCCAGCACATAATTGTTTTGACATTCCCACTTAGTCCTCACATTCATTGATAAGTCTCTTTTGCTTCAGAGGGATGACTTTACCTCATTTGAGCATGTAGGTGGACTTTCTATAATTTGTCTGGTGCTCATGCTTTGGAAGCAAGATAAAAAATGCATTGAGAAAAGAGGCAAATTTGTGAGGGTTTGATGTTGAACTCTTAAGGTTTGCTGAGAACAATCCTCAGAACCTCAGTGAGGTTTTGCTCTGGGAAATGAAGATGTTTTCATGTGGTACCAGTGTGTGTGATTGATTTTGTGACTCTTCTCTCTAGAGCAACACTCGTGGGAACTTTTTAGTGAAGTGTCACAATATAGAATCATAGAATGGTTTGGGTTGGAAAGGACCTTAAGATCATCTTGTTCCAACCCCCTGCCATGGGCAGGGACACCTCACACTAAACCATGTCGCCCAAGGCTCTTTCCAATCTGGCCTTGAACACTGCCAGGGGTGGAGCATTTACCACTTCTTTAGGCAGCCCATGGTTGCTGGGGGTTGTTTTGGTAAAATTCCGTGGTGATAATTCCATCCCGAAACAAAAGGGCAAAAATGGGAGAGGGTTCATATGTTTTCATTGTGTTCTGCACTGCAGGGTCTATTTGGCGTTCCGGAACTGAGCTGTCCAGAAGGATTTCAAGAAGCACAGGACAGAGCATTGCAAGAATCGGAACAGCTAGTGCAGAAGGCATGTTCAACACCGCCTGGGCCAGAGACCGTAATGATCTTTGATCAGCTTTCAGATAGCTTGTGCAGAGTAGCAGACCTGGTAAGTTACTTTTTTTTATTATTATTACTTGAAGCAGTTTCTTTTAACTGTCTTAGCAAGCTTACACCATGTTATTCCATTTCAGGATTTTCAGCACAGAGCAGATCAGCTCTGTGAAATTTTATGCTAAGGCAGAAAATGGCATTGATTGAAAGTTAGTCACAAAGGCTTTTACTGAATGATAGGTAACTACAAATCCTGTCAAACTGTACAGTTAATTTTAATACAGAAGTAAAAATAATATAAAGGCCACAACAAGGAAAAAAGAGTGAAATCAGAACTGTGTTTCAGATGTAATGTCAATGTATAAGCTTTCCAGTGTAACTTACATTATGTAAAGCAGGGTATTGCTCTCAAAGCTGCAATACACATTTTTAAATTATGAAAGTTTATAGGTGAAGGTCCATAAAGAATTACAGATTAAAAGCAGCAGATGAAATGGAACAGAACTGCCTTTTATTAACACCAAAAAAAATGCACGTATTTCCCAGATTGCTGTTTCTGCTGTCCACAGTGTTAGAGTACTTGGTTTGATATTCTGTATCAGGAAATGCTAAGTTTAACAAAACGCTTTGAGCAAACAGTTTCTAGAGAGCAATACAAAGTATACCTTTTATTACAGCATCACTTGTTCGTTGAAGGAAGCAGATCCAACCTTCCTACTCAAATCGGTTCTTAAGTTACTGAATTTTTTGTTTTTCACATTTGAATTCTCTTTGTGTTTGCAGTTCTCAAATCTTGTTTCTCATTCTTCTCTAGATTCAAGATGCCTTTTTTGCCAGGCACATTCTTTTTCCTTCTGAAAGTACTTACATGCTCTGTCAAGTCCCCAATTCTCCTTTTGTCTCTTATATTTTATATAGACTATGCCTAATTCCTGTTAGCAATATCTGACTAAAACACTAATGTCAGAATTCAGTGATCATAGTTTCATATCATTTTGCTGAGGTAAAATTACTTCCTATGTACTACTTTCAGGTTTATATTTTTGAAGATACAGAGCTGTGTCTAGAAGCAATCTGGTAATTGTTGGCAGGACTTTTGAGATGGGCCATTCAGCACCCATTCTGTCAATATTATAGAGAATTTTAAACGGGTTCTAAGTAGTAAAAATCTCAAGTGCGTTAACATTTATGAGGGTGCCTGTTCAATCAAAATGCAATCATACTGTTAAAGTCAAGCCAACCGCCTTTTAGCATCTTTCTAACTTTCTGAACTCCTTTAAGTATTTGGAGACTTACTTAAATTAGTAAGTCAAATAAAAACCTGTTCTGAATCCAAAGGAACTTTGGGGTTTTCTCTTTAAATATTTTTCTTCCTACTAGGTAGTGATGCCAAAGCATAACTTGATGGTCCATTCACAAGAGTAAAAGGGTTTGAAAAAAGCAACCCCTAGGCACATTTGGTGGTGTGCCTTCTTAGCTGTGATTTTTTTAGTCAAAAAAACCCTTTTGTAATAACGTTTAAATACACTGGAGTATCTCTATGTTGTAAGGCCTCTAAGATACCCACGATACTAAAAATCTTTTTAAGACGTGGATGGATTAAATATATTCTTTGGAAAGACATGATCACTGTGTGGTTTAATAGTTGTCAGCAGTTTTCCAATTAGGGGAAAAAAAGTGAATTCTGCAAATAGATTGCACAGAACTTTAGAAATGTCAGTAGAAGTACTTGGGTGCAACTTTGTTTATAATTGAAGTTTTTTTAATTTGTCTTTTTACTTCACTGTTTTCTTCTTCCGTCAGGCCGATTTTGTGAAAATTGCCCATCCTGACTTTGCATTCAGAGAAGCTGCTGAAGAAGCTTGCAGGAACATTGGTACCATGGTAGAGAAGTAGGTTTTCTGCTTTTTTGTGTGCTGTTTCCATAAGCATCTTTAAAAATTCCTGAATGATCATCTATGAAAGCAGCAATCAACAAAAAAATGTGTAGGAAGGATTTACATGAGAATAAAGCCCCAGTCTTGCTGTTACAGATGCTTGAGGGATTTAGCTTTGTTACAGTATCTCATGAAAGGTTATTCTATTTTAGTTTCAATTTGTGTTCTGAACAGTTTTAAATTATAAATTGACTCCATGTCACTGAAGCCCATAAGACTCAAAGCCCCATTTTTCTAGGACTTGACAGTTAACCAGCTGTTGTAAAGAAAGCATATGTACAAAACACTAATTTGTTTTTAAGATTTAAGCTGTTATCTATTAGAGCCCTTTCTCTTCTGATTTGCTGATCCCTTGACTTTCAGCCAGTGAGTGGGATATGTGAAAGAGGACAGTTCCCATTAAAATAAGTGTTTGAGGATGTGTCTGTTTAGGGCTGTGGCATATGCCTGGTCTACTCTGACAAGCCTATGCTTTATTTAAAACCCCATTTCATAGAACATGTTCTTAAAGGCTTCTGTTTCTGAAGTTTGCCTCTTCTTCAGGTTCCTTTTTTTTATTTAATATATTAAAATTTAAGTCCTGAAAGTTACTTCTGTGATACTTGACCACAGTGAATTGATTTGCTTTTGCAAATCTTCTGCTCTTGCTGCAGATAAGGTGAAAAGGGGAGATCTTTAATATCCAAATACAGTGTCCTTTCAGGTTCTTCACTTCCTGTGGCATTCAAGAGTAGCCTTCTTAAGTGAAAGTTTTACCAAAGCAGTACTGTGAAAGTGACCCAGTCTGCTGCTTCCCTCTTGTAACAGTGGAGGCAGTGACTAGTGGACTTACTGTCCCACAGCAAGTTGCAGAGGCAGTGAAGTCTTCTATACTTTGAGGAGGACAGCAGTGCATCAGTTTGGTTAGTTAGCCTTGTGACTAACATGGCTAGCTAAAAAAGAGAAATATGAGATTAAGTTTGGTCTTGCCAGTGTGTTTGGGAAGCTTTTCACTTGCACTGGATTTTTCAAAACTTTGAAAAATGTGATTTGATTGAGCACACCATCATAACACCATCATCTATAACAACCTGACTTTAATACTTGAATACCACTTCAGATTTAAAATATGTAGAAAGAAGAAAGTATTCACAAATTAACCTGAGAGGTTCATAAACTATTGTAAATGCTCAAAACTAGCTATTGTTGAATGTTATTTTTCATGAATAAATGGTATCCCTCAGGAGCTACTACAATACATACCTGCTTTTAGCCACATTTTGACAGTGCCGGGCTTCTTATTTATCACCTTCTGTACAGAGCCTTCTCTGAAGTACAGGCATGATGCAGTTTTGTCTTCTTTCTCTGAATTGGTTATTGATAATTATTAAGTTAATTTTACCAGTGGGGCTGCAGAGGCTTCCTGCACATCAGCTGATTGAAGAAGTTAGTGCTTAAGACTGTCAGGCTGGGGGCTGCTGCCCACTGCAGCTATGCCAGTGTATATATGTTTCATTCTGCACTGTGATTCCCACCCAGTAATCCAGGTCAACATACATGCTTGTAGTTAACATGCCCCCAGATCTGATGGACATAGTATTGTCTGACACAGGTACAGTGGTGAGCATCCGGAAATGTTCTGAGGATATTAAGCTATTAGTCTACTTCAGTGGCAGCCAGCAGCATGTTTATCTGATGGCAAACTTGGGCACAGATTTTTCTTTAATGGAATCCTTTCAAAATAAGGATGAGAAAATGGTTCTCCCACCCTTCTGCTCTTGCCATGACTTTGTGCATAAAAAATAAACTGTCAGTCTTAGCCTTGCTCATATTTGCCACAAAATGCCATCCAGAAGTATTTTCCTATTGGATGCACAAGACCTGTTTCCGTGCTAGTTTGATGACACATCCTTTGTGTCCAGATTTTGTAGTTTTTAAGTGTGGTTGTGAACCAGAAAGCATTTTGAAAATACAGTCCTTGGTTTTTAATGTTGCGTCAGTAAACATTACGCTCTGCCTTTGAATGCGTAATACCAAGAGACTGAAATATCAGTGTTTGTTGTTAATGTGTGATTCTTTTACTCTGTTCTTTCAGATTAAATACAGATGTTGAATTGTGTCAGAGTTTGAGACGTCTGCTAGCTGATGAAGTTGTTATGAATTCCCTAGATCCAGAAACCAGGTACTTATTAATGCTTATAGATTTTGATATTTAGATGGTATATATCTTTCCTTAATATTCTTATATTGTGTTCTCTTAAATTAATTACAACTGGAAAACATACTACATCTCTGTTACTAACCTAATTGTCACTGCAAAATTACCTGTACAGGAGTTAGGAAGCTTGTAGTTGTATAGTCTTGGAGGATGTCTCTGTGACTGTACAGCATAAGGTATGTTTAAAATGAATAACAGAGATCCGTAAAAACAAAAAAATGAGAACTTAAGATTTTCTTCAGTAACAACATTTTGTTTAAAGTGAGGTGCTGTACTGTGGTGTATATATCAGAATTTTAGCAGTAAAAAAAGGGAACAGACTATATAACTTGATTTCAGTTTATAAAGTCTTAGCATCTTTCAAACTAGATTATCAGTATATTTATTTAAAGCTTACTTTATGATTGCCGTAAAGTGTTTTATTAGCTGCTTATTCAGTTATAGCTTTGAATTATTTAATTGCTGCCAAGGTCTGACAAGCTTAATATTTGAATAAATTTATTTCTTCCTTTCCCCACTATGACGGATGGTAAATTTGAAGAGGTCTTTTTCTGAATTGTTAGAATAAATGGGGTGTCAGATTAAAATGGCAATTTACACAAATTGGTTAAATTAAATAGATTAATGTGGTGGAATTATTTTGAAGTATATTTTCAGTGCAGATGACTAAAATAACAAAGGAAAAATCCTGTTTCACTGAGTAAACTGGACCTAAAGCATAGGAAGTCTGTGTCCATAATAACAATACTCATACAAGTGTTGTTACTCTCTGTAAAAGACATGAAACCTAAATAACTACTAAGGACAAAGTCTGTTAAGAAGTTATGCTTACTGTCAAATGAGGCTGTTTTAACAGGGATTTACTGTATTTTTAGGCGAGTGGCAGAACTTTTTATGTTTGATTTTGAAATCAGTGGCATTCATTTGGATGAAGAAAAGGTAACTTTTGACTACAATATATGAACAGAAATTTGTCTGACTACCAAAGACCAGATAATGAAACATGTAGGACATGAATCATGTGATTCTAGGCCAGTTTGTCTTCCAAGATTCCTATTGTCCTCTGTGGAATTTTGTCTTCTCAGAAGTGATTAATTTTGTCTATTTTAAGTCTTGAATGTTCTTTTAGATATTAGTTGGCTGTTCTTCCTAGTTTGTTCTGAAGAGTTGTAAGCAAGACCTGGGATCCTGCTTTCTTTGATTGGTGTCTGCATCAGATATTTAAAATAGTAGTTTAGGTGTCTGAGCAGCCTGTTTACAGAGGGGGAAAAGCAGGACCCTGTGCGTTGTGGTGACAGGCTAATCAAGTAGTGTTTCAGAAGGGATCAGGTGTGTGGCCAGGCTCTCCTTTAGTGCTCATGTAACCAGAAGTTGTAAATCTTGATCAATATTGAACGCCTGGGCATGGTCTGACTACCTCTCTTGGAGCTTTTACATGCTTTTGCAGTAGTCAGTATCGGATTTGCCAAAACTGTCAGCTTTCACCATGCTTTGTGGTATGGATGCTCTGTTGGATGTCTGTTCATAGCTCATGTCCCTGTATAAAGTTAATACCTTGTTTATTTGAGTCATCCCCTCCAAAAAGATCTATACAAAAGCTCTTTTGCCAGATTTGTATGGTAAAGTTACTCTGAAGATCATGGTTGTGATTGTGTTTTGTGACATGGAAAGTGCTCCTAGAATATATTTTTACAATTACCTTCATACAAAGAACAACTCTGAAACCTGGACTCTGGGTTTTATTTCTGATTTTACTATTGGTTCTACAGTGTTGCGTTCCTTTTCAGTTACAATTTCACTTGCCCCTTAATTTTGCACATTTTCCTCTTCTTCCCCTACCTATTTCACTTCTGTTGCTTGCTGCTGAGTGTTTCTTTTCAATTCTCGTTTCAGGCTTCATAAATCTTTCACTGTCATAAGTTAGAATTTACTTCTGCTACAAAGAATTTCTGCTTTCTGAAATAAAATTCAAAAGATGTGTTTTTAAGAGTAAGGGTGGAATGGGAGGACAGATCTGCAGGTTTTGTAAATTTTTTGGGCTTTACAAGTATGTTGTATCTATACCCTTAGGCTTTTCTTTTGAGCTATGAACCCACAGGCAATAGAGAGCATACTATACTAACATGAGCAAGTTCACTGAAACAGATACTACAGTAAGGTTAAATGTGTGAAATACTGTAATGTATGGTGATAACACCCTAAATCACAAACTCCTCAGGTAAAGGCTGAAATACTACAAATGCTTTTTAGTCTACAGGAAATAGTGCAATACAAACAGTAACAAGTGAATTGTAATTCTACATGTATTTCAGGACACTAGTAGGATTTATCCATCTCCATGATGCTTCCTTTTTTTTCTCAACTGTATTTTACAAAGCAGTCATATTAAGCATAATTTTATAAATGCTTGCCAAGCAGCTAGCAAAGCTTAGGTAAATTATTATTAAACTCCAGTGTACATTTTCTTACAGCAGAAACACAGGCATTTGCTTTCAAATTTCAATCCTGTATGAAATTATAGATCTGTATGAGCATCAGATCTTGTCGACTTTAGCCCTATGTTAGGATTTTGCTGACGCTGTAGGTCTAATCTTAAGCGTTGTATTTTCTGCTTCATTTCTGGAACAGTCCTTTAAGGTTTTAGAAACTTCAAGTTTTGCTTGTACTATGAAGATACTATGTGTTTTGTACTCTATTTTTTTTACAGCGTAAAAAGGCAGTCAACCTCAACGTCAAAATACTGGATTTATGTAATGAATTCCTGACAGGAGCTCACCTTCCCAACAAGATTGACAAACATGTTTTACCAGAGCATATTTGGTGTAATTTTTTAGCTGAAGGCAATTACTTGCAAGTTGCTGGTCTGCATGCTGATTGTCCTGATGATCTGGTGTGTATTCCATGAGTTTGCTTTGGCGTACTCTATAACAAAATTTTGTATAAGTTATTTTACTTGTTACTGAGGCAAGTGTGTGTGATTTATGATTATAATGTTATGACAAACAAGGAAGAACTGGTTTAGAATATAATAATGAGTGTCAGCCTTCGCTTTTGTAGCTATGAGATAAGGGAAGTGATGATCCTGAATGGATTGAGAAAGAAGAGCGGCAGAATACAGATCCTGGATTTCAGGCAAGCAGACTTGAACTTATTCAGTAACACAAGGATACTAAGATACTTAGTATCAGTGCATCATGATCCTTAGAAAGCCAAGCAGGTATATTGGGAACCAGGTTTGACAAGCAGGGAACTTCTGACAAAGCTTCATCTTTAAAAGGTAGCAGACATGAGATGGAAGCAGGTACAGATACAGGGCAGGAATTTAGAAATATTGCCTGTACATACAGGGATGTTGTCAGAAAGGCCAAAGCTCAAGTGCAGTTGGTACTTGCAAGGGACATCAAAGGCAACAAGAAGAGCAATTAGTACTAAAAGGCTGGAGAAGGTGGGCTCAGTGCTGCATAAGGTGGGTGACTTAGTGACAGCAGATGCAGGTGAGGCCGAGATGCTGATTGCTTTCTTTGCCTCAGTGTTCACCAATGAGTTCTTCCAGCTCACTGTTCTTGAGGAAAGGATTCAAAGAGAAGTACAACCAGCAGTTGATCAAGATATAGTTTGGAATTACTTGAGAGAATTCAACCTGTACAAGCCCTTGTGACCAGATGGGATGCATCCAATGGTCCTGAGAGAACTGGCTATTGTCCTTGAAAGGCCTGCAGTCTTTGGTAGGCTGTGAAGATCAGGGAAAGAACCACAATGACTCATGTGAATAATATGCTCGATCCACCTTCAGAAAGGCCAGAAAAACCAAATGGGGAACTACAGGCAGCTTTACTTTCATCCCTAGGATGGTTCTGGAGCAATCCAAGGTAGGAGATTAGAGACTGTATTGGTGGACAACCAGATTGGTTAAAAACCTCATTTACTGAATTACAAAATGCAGTTCTGTGAGCCAGATCTTTGGAGAAGCTCTTCGGAAATCATATAACTTAGCTTGGAAGGGACCTCTGGAGCTTGTTAGTTTGATTCTTATCCTCTACAGAGAAAGATCAAGTAGATCAGGTTTCTTGGTGATATGTCCAGTTGAGTTTTGAACACTTTCCATTCCATGGATGGACATTCCATTACTTCTCTGGGCAGTGTGTTTGCCCATCTTCACTTTTTTTTTTTAATCTCCTGATATCAAATGGGAGTTTTTGATCTTCCAGCTTGTCTCCTCTTGCTCTGCAGCTCCTAGAACAGTCTGGCTGCATGTTCACTGCTGTCCTGCATGCTGTACTACTAAATATACGAAGATTAAGATCTCCTTTGAGCTTTTTCTCGTTTAGACTGAACAAACCCAGCACTCTCAGCCTCCATTCTGTGCCCATGTGCTTCAGACCTCAAACATTTTGGTGGCTCTGTGCTGGACCCACTCCAGTATGTCAGTGTCTTTCTTGTCCTGCATAACCCAAATCTAGTCTGGACAATACCAAATAGAGGGAAGCAATCACATCCATGGACCAGATGGCTCTTTCTAATAGAACTCATTATGCTGTTGGCCTTCGCTGCAAAGGCACACTGCTAAACTTTTTTCAAAGAAGGGGAATCATCTCCCTTATTTTATTTACCTTCTTAAAAAAATAAAAGCCTACTGGAACAGAACAGGTATGAAATGACTTGTGAATTATTATAGTAATATTTTTTATAAACCCAGGACCTGCATTTTTGTTAAATATATTCTCCAAAGAGAGAAGCTTATTTCAAACGGAGAAAGCATAAGTTGTTGCTGTATTACTTCAGCCTATTTTGTATTTACAAAATAAAGATCATCTGCAATTGGTTTGTGAAACATAAAAAGCATTCTCTCAAATTTTCTGAGGCTTGAGGTGATTTTTTTTTTTTTTTTTAAGAGTTATAAAAAATACCAAACAAGCCAGAAATAGGAGAAAGACTTGATTGTCCCTGGGCAGATGGGCAGGCATAGTTTGCTACTTCAAAAGAAATAAGGCTTTTCTCTTCTTTTTTTTTTTTCTCTCCCTGACCCTGTCTCTGGTTCTTATCAGATCCTTCCATAAGCCAGCTTAACTGACATGCAGAGAACAATTTGGCTTTCTTTTGGTTTTATTTTCAGAAGTTTTAGTGAGTTAAGACAGCCCACAGAGTGGACTGAGAAGCACAGATGTTGGCAGAAGGAGGGAAGGAATGAACAGGACCCTTTCTGGCAATCTTTCTGTGTTAAGTTGTCTCACTGCATTTCCTCATTCCAACTTTAATGGGTAAGAGATCTGTAATTGCCAGGCAGTCAGAATTAATATTGTTAAAAGGCTTTAGGCCTTTTCCCAAAAATATCAGTGAAATACAGCTGTAACACCAGATCAGAGAATTGTAAAACTTCAATTGCATCACTTGTTTACCTTAAAAATTGCAATGTAGAAGTGTGATCTTTTAATTTCTTCTTTTATTAGGTGCGAGAAGCTGCTTACAAGATTTTTCTTCACCCAAACGCTGAGCAGTTGAGCCGTTTAGAAGAACTGCTTGCTAGCCGAAACAGTCTGGCACAGTTGGTTGGGTACAACACATTTGCCCACAGGGCTCTTAAGGGAACAATGGCCAAAAATCCAGGTATAAGGCATGTGTGGAAGGGCGTGCTGAGAAATCAAATGCACTGTGTTAGGTATGAGATCAGAAGTTGTTAGTTTCTTTTGCTAAGTTTGCACATGCTACTTCAGTGCTGTTACATTTTACTGTATGCAATACTCATGCCTTATATAAAAGGCAATACTTACTGTGCAGGAACCAGTGTTTCTGTCAGAATCAGTGCTCACTTTGATTATAAAGTTGCCAGCATGTAACTTTATGCATTATCCCAGCATGTAACTACATAAATGTGGTACTAAATTCTCTTGAAATGATGGGGTAATGGTCAAAGGAGTAGTTTGTTGTTCTAAAAACAATTTTGTTCTTCTAAGGGAGCTTGTTTTGTTTTGGAATGTTTTAATGTAAACTTAATATCTTTTAAGGGAAGAAATCACATTCTTACTTTTTTTCTCCCTATTTTACTTCTAGAGGCAGTAAAAGAGTTTCTAGAGAAGCTTTCTGACCAGTTGTCTAAAAGGTATTTATTTCTCATTAAGGCATTTTTCTAACCGTAATCTTTATTTCAAGAATAGAGGGACTTGTGCACTAATAAGTCAGTGCTGCTAATTCTATGCTCTGATGAAACAAAAAGCAAGACTTTTTCAGAGTTTTGAGGGGAGCTATTGACTTAGGTAAATTTTGCATCTATGATCAGAGAATACCCAGCACTGAATGCAATGAGTGATATGCCAAGACAAAAAAGACGACAGCAAACAAGATGACCAAGTTTAAGTGTTGAAGAATGCCTCTCCTGGTCTTCTCCCCATATACACAACTCCATATATTTTAATCTATAAGGAAATTTCACTGTTTGTCCTTCTTGCCTCCTTTAGTTCCACACGGCACAAAAGAGTTTCATCACTGTGTGTAGGTAGGATGTATTGTAAGAAAGAAAATGCTTTGGGAGGTGTACGAGCAGAGTAAGAGGAGCTTAATTTGAAGGTATTTGAATGACAGAAACAGAATAGAAAAGTTCTTTTATGGTAGTATATATGGGTCTGCCATTTTATAGAGTACCATCAATATCTGATGGTGGGCATTTTCTTAGGACAGAGTATTATTATGTACTGGATTCCATTGCCCAAAAATCTTTCATTAACACTTTAATCATAAAAATATTTTTCAGAACTCAGAAAGATTTTGAAATTATGACAAAGATGAAAATGAAGCTCAACCCCCAGAATTCAGTAAGTTAAATTTTCATGTGTGGTTTTCTGTTTTATTTCTTTTTAAAAATATAGTATAAGTTAACCTTGTTCTACAAGAAAAAATAACTATTTCAGTGTAGAATACACAGTGTAATTAGAAAGAGAAACTTCAGGCTTCCAATGCTTTTTGACAGCTAGGCTGCTATTTGTATTAAAACCAAGCACTGGGTGCAAGATAAGTGTTGGTTTATACCAAATGATACTGGGATAACCAGAACATAAAGTGGTGAAAGTGAGTATAACTTTATTTTGAATTAATTGCCTAATTTGAAAAATAAAGGCTGTACTTCAGATTTGATGCACGTCCAGTTTGCATACTGTATTGTATGTATTCTAATTCTTCATGTAACTAGTTTTATCTTTCTATTTGAATTGAGTGCATTTCTTGAAATCTGGTATGAAGCCCCCATTATATATTGGAATAAGAAATACCATCTTCAAGCAAATTTGTAAAAAAAGGATATATGATGCTATTTCTGATTTTGGTTTTAGCACCGAATGTTTCCCATTATGTTTTAAAGTTCTGTGACTTGTCGAAACTGCAAAAATACTCAAAGGAAGCAAAACTTTTACTTTGGGTTCACTTGTCCATAATTGTAATTATAAGCTGGAATTTGCTTTCAGAAGCTGATGCCGTGGGATCACCCTTACTACAGTGGCCTCCTTCGTGCTGAGAGGTAAGCTCCTTATGTTCGTGATTCTAATGTAAATGAGTGCCTTTATTTCATTCCTTGCAGTAAGGATAAAGAAAGTCCTGAATGTAAACAGGATTTCCTTCTTTGAAGATGTACTTCAGTTTGAAAAAATAAAGACTATCTGGTGGGGCAGTTTGTAATATTTCTCAGTTACTGCTGGAATGCCTTTAGAAGATTTTGGTTCCTTTGTTGTTTTACAGTGGAGTATGAGCCCTCTTTGAAGATATGAGAGGATGAAATGATTTCAAAACAGCTAGCAAATCCTTACACTTGTTTTGCTTTTATCTCTTAGCTGAGCTGCTAATGTTTAAAAATAAATTTTGATCATTAAACACAATCCAACTCCTCTTCATATTTTAATCATAACGTACTTCTTACTGAATATTTGACTATCATCCCCTTCTACAGACCTCAAATAGCAACTTATTGAGTAGGTCTTCACTGTTTATGGATAGCATTCATTCTCATCTCTCCTGCAAAGACTGGGAAATAAACCCTCTACACAGACTTAAACAGTGCACAAGACCTTTGCACATAATGAGATGCCAGCTCTGAAAGACATGAGCCCTGCATGTTGCCTTTATTAGATCAGCAGCAGTGACCTTTTAGGTTTGTGTTGGAAAAGATCATTTAAAGTTGTGCTTTGCTTGCAAGAAGGGGAGGAGAAATCTTCCTTTGCTGCAGAGTTGTAGGTTTTGGGGTTTTTTAAACAAACTTGGACTGGATGTATCTGGTGAAAGTAGTAGTTTACTCTGTATCAGAAAGCTATGGCAGTGTAGACACAGCATGGAAGGATTGCCAGCAGTTGGCCTGGCTGTTCTGCTGCTTTCTTGTACATTGTTACTAAGGCAGTAGTTTTATGAGCAGTAGCTCTAATATTGGCCTCCTCTTAAGCTACTACATGCTCACGTGGGAACTGACTTACGAATGTGCAGCAGCGTTTGTGTCTTAGGTGCACAGAACTTGCTATGCAGAGGAGGGAGAGGGATGTATAGCTGCTGGGTCTGCTCCTGGTAGCCCGTGCCAGCACATGCAGCACTCCATAGTGTATATATGGGTTGCCTGTTTGTGGCATGGCCTGGGAGTGGCTGCTTTCATTTCAAACTGGAGAGGTAGCAGACACCCTTCTGTGAAAGTGGGAATGAGGTAGTGGTTTTACTGGAGGAGAGTCAAGGTCCACCTAGCTCCGAATTCCATCTTAACAGTTATCACTAGCAGTCTGTGGAAGAGCACTGTCATACTTACTCAAGGTAATGTCTTGTAGTTCCAGATGCTGGGGAGGGACTCTTCATTAGGGACTCTAGTGGTAGGACAAGGGGTAATGGCTTCAAACTTAAACAGGGGAACTTTAGGTTAGCTATAAGGAAGAAGTTCTTCACAGTGAGAGTGGTGAGGCACTGGAACAGGTTGCCCAAGGAAGTTGTGAATGCTCCAACCCTTGGAGGCATTTAAAGCCAGGCTGGACAGAGCCTTGGGCGACATAGTTTAGTGTGTGGTGTCCCTGCTCATGGCAGGGGGGTTGGAACTAGATGATCTTAAGGGCCTTTCCAACCCTAACTATTCTATGATTCTATCTCCTATACATTGCCTGTATAGTGTCTTGAGAACAGCAGTAATTAAATTCTGATACACTGTACTTAATTACTGTAAAATGTTGATGAAATTTATTGTCTATGTATCCTATTCATTTTCTGCAATTCCTGTAGTGTCTGTTTTCCCTGTTTTCAGAATTAGTGTGTCCCATAAGGGTTAGAGCATTAGGTGTAGAAGGCTCTGTGTTTCTTTCTCCTACTGGAGAAGTATCTTCTGATGCTGTCTTATTGTCCTTAGATCATCTCACGAAGCTAACCATATTGTAATTGAGTTGCTTGTGATCACAAATAGATTATTCTGCTCATCTTGGCATTAGGAAATAAAATATTTCCTTTCCTTGTGGAGCTTTGTAAAAGACGCAGTTCAGTTACTTTAAGAATTGCATGGTAGTTTTATGAAGGGAGAGCTACAGGTTAAACAAACCAAGACATTGGCAGTGTATCTTTGCTATTTTCTATTTGTTCAGACACCAAGTCTGGCAGCTGGATCAGTGTGAAGAATGTCCTGAATTTACATAGGGCCACCCTGGCTACAGTGCAGGATTGGAAACCAACCTTTTTCTCCCTCCAGTTTGGGCAGGGGTGTTTTTTACTGGCAGGTATACAGGATCTACAAGACAGGGAAGGCAGAGTAGTTTTCCTCTCCATCATGTGCAGCAGTGTTTTGCTAAAACCCAAGGGCTTAGGTGATTCACTGTCCTATTTTCTGTATAGTGGTCTGTCTTTGGGAAAAGTTCTTGATTTGCAGTGACTTAACAGTGCTTGATATTTATTCTGTCCATATTGTAGGTATTTAACAGGGTACTCATGCTGGTTTTACTGTTACTTTTGTAAATGTGAATCTGCCATAATCTATCTTGTGTTTGTTTTTACTGCTGTATGATCACATCTTTTCTTGAATGCCCCTTGGATGCTATGGTATGTTCAATACTTTTGTAACTGGAATATGAGAAACATACCCATCACAAAGCTTCATACTGGTGGAAGTTTGACTTCTAGCTGTTTGTTGTTACTCTCTTCTTGAGCCAGTTATCTTGTAGTAGCTAAGATTCTAAGATTATGCCTTTAAATAAAAGTGATGTTGTCTGGGTTTGTTTGTGGGGTTTTGTTTTGGTTTTGTGGGTTTGTTTTAATTGTATGGTCTTTCATTTCATTTTATTTGTAAGAGAAATAAAATAATACTTATTGTATCCTATTTAATTTGTGTTTTTGCATCATGGTATTAAAAATATGCTTTCAAAGAAGATATATTTACCTATTATGCATTTCTCATTATTACTATTCTTTGTTTAGCAGGTGAATTATTTTGTTCTTCAAGGGTTTCTCATTTTTGGAAGGAATTTACTTCTAGCTTCGTCTTTTACAGAAAGTCATAATATGCTGTGAGCAGAGCATGGCTTACATCTTTGCCATGTTTTCAGACTCAGTAGTAGTTTCTGTGGTGGATTTCTGTATTGTTAGGAATTTCCTTTTTTTTTTTTTTCTTTCTGCTTAGTAAAATGTTTTTGTTGAAAGGGAAACAAATCATGCTTTTGGGTTTTTCTTTCGGACTACTATTGTCACTGTGGCTCCAGCTGAATCTACAGAACCATAGTTTCCTAGATATGGTCAGGTACGTAAGATGCAGGTTATCTTCACAAACCTAGGTATAAAGAAAGACACTACAGATGCTTAGTTTTTGATTCAGTAACTTAGCAATGTTCTAGTATTTTGCGCATGTATCACTAAAGGGTGCAAGAAATGTTAGATGGGACAGTGTATGTGTCTGTTGCAAAAGGTTTACTGTTTCCTATTTTGGTCTATATGACTCTATTTGAAAACAGAAATGCTGGGAACAAACATTATAAAATGTGCTCCTGAGCTGATCTTTTATTTCCTCTTTAGCTCTCCACATTTTGACCAGCTACATCAGTTTGTTTCAAATGACACTGAAACTCATGATGTATTTTTAATGTGTCTATTTTATATCTCTGTTGTGTATTTTAAATTGCATTTATATATTTTCTAAATATTTTTATTCTGTATGAGAAGATGATTAAGGAAACAAATGCTTCATTAGATTCCTCATAATACATTATTTACACTCTGCTTCTGCAGTCATTACTGATCATTTCTGCTGTTTTGCAAGTCGAACAGCAGGAGGAGCTCCAGACTAAATTCACAGCATCCGATTTTCTTTCTGTAAACTTGGCCACAATACTTTTGTTTCTGTCAGCTTTCATCAAGTCGTTTCCGTGGAAATTTGATCCTACTTCAAAAGTGTAAGTTTCTCATTGATGGTAACAGGATAGTTTACTTTTTGCCCCCACTAAATTATGTTAGGTAGCCTTTCTGGCTTTAAACCCACACTTTGGACAGTTTAATCTTATTGTAGCTATAGTTGAAGTGGCAGAGAAAACAGTTGTTGGTATAAAAATGCATCTAAGAGAAACTGAAGACAAAAGTCTGAAATTCGTGGTTGTAGTATCTTAAAAGAAGATAGAGTAATTAAGAGAACCTCAAGAATTTTGGCAGACTAAGGGTAATAACCAGTGAATGCTAGAACATGCTTCAGCCTTTAACAAGTAAGAAGATGTCTAACATGCATATTACAAAAATAATACTGTTGAGTTTTAGTGCGGGCAAGTACCATAGCGTTAATTAAATCCCATTACTTCTCAGTAAGTGCAGCTGCAGTTATAAATATTTCTCAAGGCCCTGATCTTGCAAAGATGTAGTAGCCTTGCTGACTTAAAAAAAACACAAACCCAACAAACAAAACAAAATGCTGGAAGAGGCCTTTTGAGGTCAACTATTTGCCTTGAAGGTGGGATTGTGTTTAAGCTCCTTCTGACAGAGACACAGAACTGTTCTTGAGAACTGGCAGTGGTGAACTGAGCATATCTGGTGTTGATGCTTGTTTCCCTAACCTTTGGTTCTTACCAGGCTGGGCTGACTTTGCTGGCTATGATTCACTTTGGGATTTTTTTGCCAAAATGTCATGGATTTTATTCAACTTGCAACTGGGATGTGCTTGCAGCCTGTTGCACTCTGTGCTGGTCATCTTCTTTGAGACTGCAGAAATAAGTAAGACTGGCTTTGGGAGTGAACAAATCAATGCCAAAATAAGCTGTTTTCCAGCTGTGTATGAAAGAGAAGCCACCGCACCAACTGCAGGCATTTTGGATCTTGGGGTGACCAGCTAAGCAGGAATTAGGAATAACTCATCTGTGTTCTTGTTGGGACTGTACATAGGCAGCCAGCTTCAGGGGAGAGTGGGCAGCTCTTTTGTTCTTTCAGAGGGGTAGGTTCAATACCAAGATACCTAAACATGACTGGATGTTTCTCAAGTTGCTAAAAGCTGCAACTAATGTTGAGGTTTGCAAGTTACTTGTAAACAAACTTGTTTGT